CACACTATGTAAGTCTGGTATTGAACGAGTATTGAACACATAATGAATATTGCATTGATGGTATTGTGTAACAGGATAATGCCAGTGCAGCTGAAACTGAGGAAATATACACTCTCACTGCAGAGGGGATGAATGACCTACGGTAGTGTTCTGTTTTACATCTGGGATGTCTCAGTCTGCCTTTGAGGGAGCCGTCCATGGTCTCCACAGTGGAATGCAGTGGGCGAGAGTTTATTTTTTTTTTAAGATGGAGGTCATCTTCCCCAGGATCCTCCTTTCACACGTCTCCTCAACTGAATCCAGTGGGCAGCTCAGAACCGAGCTAGCTTTGTGAACTAACTTGATCAGTCTCTTCCTGTCTCGGTCAGAGCTGCCTGCACCCCAACAGACCACAGCAGAGTGGATAGACAGTGAAACTCTAGGACTAGAAAATCCTGACAGATCTACATCACACTGTCACTTAACACAGTGGTTCCTAACCTGGGGGTCCCAACCCCCACAAGGGGGTGCCAAAGCCTCTCAGTGGGTCACCAGGACCTCTCCACTTTAAGGGGCTAAAACTTCATTTATTACTTGTTTATAGCTAACATTTTGCTCACATTTTTTTTCATGAGTGAAAACTTTACGGATATTAAGACAGGAAATAATTAGTTCAGAAAAAGTAACACACTTTTAAGAACATTTTGCTCAGCTCACTGTTTTATTTTCAAGTGTCAAAAGTTCATCAAAGATAGGACTGGTTGATTAATCACAGCCTTTACAGTAAATAATCTAGTATTAACAGTAATATACACATTTAAGTACATTTTGTTCAGTGTATTTTTTATGTGTCAAACGTTTATTGAAAGGAATGATTGATTTAAGTGGCCGATATATGTTATTGTAGTGTTAATGCTCCTATATTGGTAATGAGATTTTGAATTTTACACATTTTGTAACCTTTTTAAATGTGCCATTAGCATGTTAATAAATACATGCATGAAATTGGAATATTCAGTTTTGTGTTTTTGATGAAAGTGTTGTTTGTCAGCAAAATGTGGGAAGGACAGCACAGTTGAATTAGTTTATAGAACTGAATTCAAAAGTTGATTCAACTTACAATATTAAAGCAACTGGCTGCAAACCCTTTTTGAGTTCAGTCAACTTTTTGCAAGTAGAAAGTTGTGCCAACTTTTTATTTTAAGTTTATCTGGCCATTGACTCAACTACTTATTCTAAGTTTAGAGAACTATGAATCCCAATTTTGCCAAACTTATTATTGTTAGTTCAGTGAACTCTTTATTCCTGGTTGTACAAATGTTAAATTTCAATTTGGTTGTATTTATTATTAAAAGTAAGCATAAAATGCACATATAAATTAGGCCAACTTAAATATGAGACTTGGCAAAGCAAGCACCTAAAAAGTTGACTGAACTTAAAATTGTATTGCAACTGGTTGCTTTACTTTTTTAAGTTCACTGGACTTTTTTTTTTACAATGCAGTGTTTACAAGAAACAATTTGTTCAGAAAAGTAATAGAAACTGTCAAGCACATTATGATCTGTTTGGTTTTGTTAATGACTTTGTTCTGTACTGGAGCCTACTATTACTGTTATCTATTGAATCAAAGCATATTAAAATGTGCTTGAACAATTTTATCATTTCTTAATACTGTTTGTACTGGAAGAGAGAATGGGAGGGGGTCGTCAAAAATTTTACTGGTAAAAAACGGGGTCCCTTATAAAGGTTGGGAACCACTGACTTAACATTCATGGACTCACCCATCTTGGCTCTCAACGGTGAAGGCTGTTGTGGGTTTAGTGTCCAGGGGTCTCATTTATCAAACATTGCATAGAATCTTTACTAAAACCATACTTAAAGGGGCATTATGCAAGTTTAAAAGTCAAAACATGTATAGAAATAATAAATGTCTTCTTCATACATTCTCCTGCAATGCCCTGATCCTGTAGAATGAGCCCTGGCATTTTTACTGTGATTGCCTGTTTTTCTGTAAAATCACAGAAAGAGAGAGCTGCTCGGGTCGAGCAGGCTGCTTCATGCGCGTTCACGCTCAGGCATCGCCCGTAGCATTTGCTATCCGTAGCTTTAGCAGCAGAGAGAGAGGCAGTGCCACTTTGTCGCTGTTCCTAACGCCCAGTGACAAAGCTAGCTACATTTCTGAGGACCCTTAGCTACTTTCTGAAGAACTTTCTTCTAGATATTTCCTGCAAATTAGCAACAAAATAGCCATTTTCGCTCCGAACCGTTCTTTGATCATTGTTTCAGCTGTCATCAAGGATATAAATCTAACAGTTAAGAAGCACATTATTGGTGCTTTTGCTCACATAGTAAGACATTGGACTCCCATGCAGAAGACATGGGTTTGATTCTGGCTGTAAACATAGTTTATTTAGAGTTTCTTTTTTACTTTAATGGTATATTTTTTTACAGTAAGATGCCCAAATTTTTATTTGAGACCTGCCAAATGGCATTGAATTCACAGATAAAAAAGATGTGGGTTCAACTTTCATTTTGTAACAGAGCATACAGGAGGACTGACCCATCTTAAACCTTTGTCAGCTGTGCTGAAGAGAAAGGTACAGAACCAAATTTTTAATTACTTAGCTGCGCATTCTCCTGTCCTCTGTCCTCCGGGCCACACACACAAGGGACTGTCTCAGCTGTTATTTTCGTTAAGGAGTGTGCACGTACAGCATGCGCGCCTCGTGCACGAGCCTACTATTGAAGCTGCCGTTACACTTTTGGCCTGAGGGGGCAATCGCGAGCATAAAAATTCAAAACTCCGTAAAGTCCCTTTAAGCTCAGCAAAAAAAAAGTACTTACGTCAAGCAGGTTTGTGATCTATCAAACATGGAGTACGCACAGCTGCACGCAATCTCCGCTTCATAAATCAGAGACCATCTAGAAAGGTTCTCAGCTGCTTTTTAGTCACATCCCGCCCTCATCATGCCCACTTACTGCCATAAATAGTCAATGCAAAGTGCCTTGTGGATCTCATGCATATACGTAAGCCGGCTTGTTGCAGCATTTCGATCACGACCGCAGATCAAGGAAGCGCTATTTCACAAGCAGAAATTGAGGGGAGGTGGAGAAATGAAAGGAAGTGCTTTTGCAAAACAAATAAGAGAAAATCCACAGAGTGGCACAGCGTTGCTGAAGCCGTCAATGCTGAGTTCTTCTGTGGCGGATATAAAAAAAATGATCCGGTCAGGATTCAATCCCCAGACTCCTGGGTGAAAGCCACGCATGCTAACCAGTCAGCCAAACTGAGATCTCCCTTGTCCAAGTAGCCAGGGTGCATGTTCAATCAGGTCACAGTGACAGGACACACACTATCACAGACGCATGACATTCTGTCTCAGTCTGTCCCCCTGCTAATATTCTGCATTTCGTATTCTGCGCTTCAGGCTGTATGTGCGCCCGTGCGTGTGAGTATGCGCACATGTGTGTGTGTGTGTGGGGGGGCTTGTTCTGTGTGAAAATGAAGCAGTACAAGTGATAATGCTGCAGGATTTCATGATTTTATTCTTCTCAGCAGCAGCACTGCAGGTTCTCTCCATGTCCAAAATGTGCGTAAGCAAGGTCCTTAGTCAACTTAAAGTTGCGAACATTTTTCCGCCAAGTTTTCTTTCATAAACCCCAAAGTTTGTGTGGAAAGTTGCTTACGCAGTTTTCCGACCCCGTTTTCTGCGTAAGTAAGCTTGATAAATGAGGCCCCAGGAACCAGCAGAGAACATCTTGGCTAGTAGACTCTAACCGTTAGCATTAGCAACTCCACCACATGGCAGAACTTGGCTTGTGTTATTTGTAGAGATAAAACATCAATGTTGAGGAGAAAACAGAGCCAGTGGTAAAGTTGTGTTGCTGTTATCCAATCAGAGACAAGATGTCCAAATGTCAGGAAATAAGACTCCAAATCCTGCTGTCTGAAGCTCAACTCTGATGTGGCTCATTTCTAGTTCCCAAAACAGGTGCGCCGGGGCCTTTCTCCTCCAGAGGATGAAGTACAAATGATTCATTCCTACTAGAGACCACTGCTAAATGAGTTATCAACACCTTTAATGCAGGGGTTTCCATAGAGAAGTCTCGGCCCATTTGTGGTTCTCAGATTGATTGTGCATGATAGCAGATTAAGATGTTGACTTTCAATTTGAGATTTCATGGTGTGTTCCAACTACAGGGGATCATGCATAAGCCCCAAGACACACTGGAGGGACTATTATTCTCGGTTGCAGGAAACACCTCAGGATTCCCCCAGAGGAGCTGGCCCAAGAGGCTGCTCTGTGCCCCAGATAAGCAGGCCATTTTAACTTGGCAGCTTACAGAAGGTTGAAGCAGACAGAAACTAGTAAACATTTTATCAGAATCAGAATCAGAATAGGTTTAATGCCATTGTCAGTGAACAAACAATTCACAAACTAGGAACTTGCTTCGGTACTAATGTGCTACATATAACATGAATAATAAGATTAAAAATAGAATAAAATATAATAAAAAAAAACTAGAATAAAAACTTTCAGCGATAAAAAATGGCAAAAAAGTTATGTTACAACTTTTAATAATACTGATTTAATGTGGCAAAGGGTGGAAAGGTGGAATGGTCAAGAATAATGTATTTTACAGGCACATTTATAAATAGCATGCATGTATTCTGTTGTTGCTTGATTCATTTTGGTTTCAAGAACATCAATTAGGCAAGCACATAGCCTACAAGACTCTTTTTGTTTGGGATTAACACATTTTTTTCTGCAAAATTCATATTTAGTAATTTCATTTAAATTAATTTCCTTTTCTGTAATACTGATATATTTTCTTTTATCATTAAAAATACATTTTGAATTCAGCCTGTAAACTGTAACTCTGGAAATAAATCAACAGCTTATATTAGTTGACGGTAACTCAGCAGACTTATTACACCCCCCCCCCTCCCCCCCCCTCCCCCCCCCCCCCCCACCACCACCCCCCCGCGCGCGCAGACGCCACTGCGCTGCCTGCGGGACCCAGAATCCTCCGCGCCGAGGGAAGATGGAAGAACCCAGCTGCTGCGGGGCAACAATGTTTTGGCTTTAGATATTGAAACGGGAATCTGAGGCGGAACCACACCGACCACAGCAGCGGGTCATGGTCCAGCACCGGTAAGAGAATTTTATCCCGTTGCTGACGGGCTTTGGGACGCGGTTAAACATCCTGTGTAGGACAAAAGAGAAGGGAAGCGTTGTAACGTTACCGCTTGTTAGCTGCTAAGTTAGCCACCTCAGCTAATCGGGACGAGCATCATTGTTCGCTGGAGTTTGTGTGGGCCGTTTGTTGTGGCTCGTTTCTTTTTTCAGTTTCTCCCTCATCCTTAACCCAATATTCTCCGCCAAAGCAAAACCAACAACCCGAAGAGGGCATTTAAGGACACCGTTACGTTTCTTGTGTTTTCCAACCAAAGCATTTTCCATCTCGCAGATTTTAGATAAACTTTTTACTCAAAATAACAAATTTCAGGACAAAACCAACGTTATGGCGTTAGAAATCTGTTTTTACAAGATGAGGCTGTTTTGAACCCTGCTCGGTTTAGGTGGTTTTGTTCCCATCAGCCCTGATCCGGTGCCTTTTCTGTTCAGTCACATTAATTATTGGCTGATCCTGCATCACAAAGAAGACGGGCCAAATGGTTAGCCGGCCGCTAATTCCACTGCGAGCCAACGCTTTAGTTTACCTTCATGTTTTGTACAACTACCCCCCAAATAAACCAGAGAAAGCTGCAATAGCTCAAATAAATAGATTCATTTAAACTTTCTTTTTTCTAATAAAGTTGTAAAATTCTCCTCCATCAAAGTGGACGGCAGCAGCAGGACTCATGAGTCACCTTGTTTATTTTACTTTGATTCTTCCCGGATCCCTTTTAGTTTCAACTTGGTGAAAAATCCACTCTTGATTTTTTTTTATTAAATATGGCGTTTTCTACTTTTGCTCTTCACAAGCATGTCATTTATGTTTCATTGTCTACATGTTCACATACATAATAACAACAAACAAAACCAGAATAACCTGGTTCTTTAATTCCACCGCCACTTTGCATAACTGCTCAGTTTTCTCCCTTCCAAAATCAAAAAACAAAAACAACCAGATAGTGAAATGGCCCCATTGTCCTCCAGTTCGTTTTCAATGGTTCAACATTTAGCTGGTGTTTCAGCTCTTCACCATTCATCTCTAACATATCTTTTGGTTTAATCAGCCCAAAATTGAAAGTTTTAGACTTTGAACAAAATGAGCATTTGTTGACTTTTGGGTTTCAAATTCCACGATTAAACCAGAAAAACAAAGTCCAGAAACACGAATTAAATTTTCTGACATGCGATGAACATCTGATAACATCTACAGATGTTTCCAATGGTCCTAATTCAAAGCGATTATGACAGTTTGTTTGTGCTGCAGCTGCGTACGTACACAAACAGCCATTCTAATGCAGCATGTGTGCACTCTCATTGGCAGATAAGCTTGTACAAATAGGATGACTGGGTCACACAGCGCCATCAAAAAGATTAACACACAATTTCCATCCCCTCATTCCTTGCCTTATGTTGTCTAGTTTGGCGGTCGCTGTGGTCTTTTTGCCCCCAAAATACCAAACGTACAAACTGCATTCAACCAGGCAGAGTTTAGTCCTGTGATTCTTCACCGTGCATTCAAATGTTCCACACTGCAGCCCTTTTGTTGACCTACAAACCATCAGTTTAATCCGACTAAGCACCTAGTTGAGATCAGAGGCCATGGCTGATTCCTGAAGACCAAATTTAACTGGCTCATAATCTTTATCTATTGTTTGTTTTTTTATAAACTGGATTTAAATCCTTTGAGATGTTTTTTTATGTGTTGAAACATGTTATAACACTGTTATAACATGATCATCTGCCATTGTTTCCTTCACAGGATGAATTTGATTTCCACCTAATAGATCAACTGCCCAGCAGCCTTCAGCATGAGCATTATTCAAGACAAAATAGGGAATGAATTCCTGCGCTCCAGCGGCAGCATGGACACCAATTTTGGAGGTGGCATGATCATGTTTAGCCACCTCCCTCCAGTGACCAGCTTCACTCGGGTGGCCGCTCACACTGTCATGCAGGAGCTTCCAACACATGATTTGATCCTGAAGAAGGAGCGCGACTCTCCTGACTGCAGCATGAGCACCCAAGATGGCAGTCGGGCGTGTGTGGTGGGCGACTATGTTCACGCCATGGGCATCAAGCAGGAGAAGTTGTCAGAGCACGATTATCGCCTGCCGCTCTACCCTGGAGGTCTGGGGAAGAACACAGAGATGCTGGAGGTGACTGTTGGTAACAGCCAGAAGCTGCTGGTGCACAACCTCAACATGGGCGGCGTAAGTTCATTCTGCTGTATTAGAGGTCAAAGTCGCATCTTCTAATTAGGAAGCTTGGAGCAGAACTGAGTTAACACATTTATTACAAAGTTTTGACAGCAGCTGCTTTGGTAATCTAAACATCTTATATTTTATTTCCTTAACCTTTACGTGATGTGGGAATACACTCGTTATTTCATTGAATTAGCTGTTGTCTTGAGTACGAATGGAAGCCTTTGATTCGTTCTCTGTGGAAAATAAAAGCTCTGGCACTCCTGTTTTAGGAAATAGAAGTTGGTCAAAGGAGAGAGGGGTGGTAAACGGCAGGATTTGGAGTAATTGGTATTAAGGATGGGTACCTTTGACATTTGAATCGATTCGGTACTAATTACCGGTACTTAACGGTACCAATTTTCGATACTTTTGAGTGTTTATTATTTTAATTCTCTTTTACAATTAAATATATATTTTCTCAATATATAACAATATTTGATAAATATCACGATAAATAACATTCAACTGTTTATATTTTAACATCGTCCTTGTAGTTTTATAAGCTGATAATTAAACTGAAGCAAACATCTTTACTGTGAACTAAATTTACTGTGTATCTTCATTCCTTTTGCCGTCCTTTTTCATTTGATTTTTCCTACTGGAAAGTTAGAATTTCCGAGGAGAAAGCGAACGCACCATTAGCTGATAACAATGGTGGGAATGGAAGCTAACATATCAAGCTAACGTTATCTTAAACAGTTTATTTAACTGCTGGAGCAGATTGAAACGATGATGCCTCACACTTAGATCGTTGTCACTGGTTTCATTTTCATCCGTCGCATTTAGTGAAGTGAAGCCAAACTTTAGAGCGTGTTCATGTTCTTCTAGTCGGGAATTCGGAGTTCCGAGGAGAAAGCGAACGCACCATTAGCGAAACGGAAGCTAACATATCAAGCTAATTATATTTACCTACCAGAGCAGATTAAGATGAGGATGCCTTACTTAGATCGTTGTCGCTGGTTTCATCATCACCCAGTTACCCATCACATTTAGTGAATTGGACCCAAGCTTTAGCGTGCGTTCTTTTTACCATGCTGCTCTGTTTACAACTGACTCGCAGCGAGCGATGACATAACGCTCTTGCGCATGCGCAGCTGTCTAGGCAAGTTCTCGTTATGAAGGACGGGTACCGAAACGAGGCACCGTTTCAAATGACGTGAATCGGTGCTCGGTCGGTACTGTGGAATTCGGTCGGTACCTTTAAAAAGTACCAAATTCGGTACCCATCCCTAATTGGTATTCATGATTTTCAGACGTCTCGCCTAGAACTGGGAGATCATAACGTTGCACGTAGTGATCACAATTATTTTCTGTTCCATCACTGTGATCAGCTGTGAGCCTACAGCCACGGCAAAAAAGATTAGGCCCTGTTCTGATATTGGACCGTCCAGGAAATTTTACCTGACTTTTGTGGCCATTTTACAGGAGAAACCCAAAACGACCATTTTCCCAACCGTTTCAATAACAGAAGTACCCTGAGCTGGAGTGTGTTCTCGGAATAGTCTGGTAGAGTCGCTGGGTGGGACTTGTGGTTACCTCATGCTGATTAATTGTAACTCAGTAGAAAATGATGTCAGCAGATGTCGCCAAAACAACCGGCCTCTTGTAAATTTGGAAGAGTTGCTGGTGAAGCGTAACAGTAGGAAAAAGAAAATAAGCAGCATCCACATTAGTTGAAAATATCAGTTTCTTAAGTCCCAAAGCCAAAAGATGCAAGGGGACCCTTAGATTTGGTTAGCTCCTACTAGATGTTCTCTGGTCTATCCTTGACACTAACCCAACATCAGCCTTCCCCCTCACGAGCCAAGATGGATGAGTCCATGAATGGTTATTTACAGCGTGACGTAGATCTGAGTGGCTTTTTAATCCAAGCTTTTCCCCGTTTGTTTTCTTTTGGCAGCTGATGCAGGAAATGCAGGTAGAAGACTATTTTCATGTTCGGCATGCATGTTAAACTCAGAGTGACTGTATTTTGAAAAGAACACGTTTATACTTTTCTCTGTGAAATGACATTTACACAATTTACACTGTGCTGCTAATTAAATTAGCTCCAGACAACCACAAACAATTAATTGACAAAAAATGTACGTTGTAAGAGTAGCAGTATGTCATTCACATTAAATGTGTGCCGATATTTAGAGAAGTCGCTGTTGTCGGGCTGAAGCCTTACATCATTAAAATGTCTTTTACATCCAGTCGGACCACGAGCTCCTTTTGATATTTTTTTACATGAATTGTCATCCATAAACCATTGATCAAAGCCTACTGGTTGTGCAGCACCAGGCTAAAGACCAAAGGTGACAGATCATTTGCTGCTGTGGCCCCCAGACTCTGGAACTCTCTCCCCCTGAGCCTGAGATCAGCGGACTCGGTGGTCTCCTTTAAAAAACAGCTGAAGACTCACCTGTTCAAGCTGGTTTATGAGTGACCCTCATCACTATCCTCTCTTCATGCTGCAGTTTCTACCAATTCTGCCTTTCCCGGGACCCACTCATTATACCTCTTTCTTCTTCATTTTCTCATTCCATTTCTTCACGTTTTTATCGCAATTTTTTATTTCTGTCATTTTTATGATTTTTTTTGTCAAAAAAAGTTCTTGCGCAGCGCCTTGTGATTTTTATCTTGATGCGCTATATAAAAGATTTGTTCTTTCTTCCTCTAAAAGCAGACCCATAGTCAATTTATTCAACAAGAAAAAAAGTAGAAAAACTTCAGACCTAAACTAATGTCTGAATGTTACAAAATTCTACGTCTGAAATAGTCCCATCTTAAACAGGCTTGAACATTTTATGGTAGTTTCTACTGATGAATTCAAATCATTTAACAACTCAACTCTGCCATCTACTGACATCCTTTAAAATAGATTAATTATGTTAAATAATCGTGATTTTTGTGCTGGTCAAAAATAACTACATTTATATTTTTTGCAAGGAAGCAGCTTTACAAAATTGACTAAATTAATATGAAACCTGAAAAAACTGAATCAAAAACACAAAATTCACTACAAAAATTGACGGGCTAATCTACAGCATTACATAGTTGAAAAAAGAAAAATGTTTTTGTTTATCTCTATGCTGCTGAGTTCTTTTCCAACCTGAATCACATTCTGTCTTTTTGGACCCACAAACCAGAGTGAATCGGTCCAGAACAGACCTTCCTATGAGCTCTGGATCATGGCTTCCCAGTCTCCGATATAACACAGTCCCTCAACTTCAACAACGAAGCGCATTACTTCACTGTTACTCTCATCTTGCATTAGCATTTTTTATGATGGATGCTATTTTTAGATCTTCCTTGCTGCAACACTAAAAAATGCTGATCTGCATTTGGAAATGCTGAGTGTTGCTGCAACGAGACGGGCTTTGAAACCGCTTTTATAAAGACAAATAACTGTGTGTGAACTGAGCAAATGCCACCTTGCATCACTGAAAAGGCTATCTTGAAATAAGTTTGTTGGCTTGTCTGTCACCAGATATGGCTCAAATTGTTCAGAAAATGTTTAAAAGAGGCAGCCTCTTGACAGAAAATGAAAAAAAGAGAAAAATAAGAATCCTCATTAAAGCCTTTGTCCTCATGACACTTAAAGGGACTATAAGGAAGATTGACAGCCAAAACATGTATAGAAATAGTAAATGTCTTCTTCGTACATTCTCCTGCAATGCCCTGGTCCTGGAGAATGAGCCCTGGCATTTTTACTTTGATTGCCTGTTTTTCTGTAAAATCACAGAAAAAGAGAGTTGAGCTGAGCTGCTCGGGTCGAGCGGGCTGCTTCATGCGCGTTCACGCTCAGGCATAGCCCGTAGCATTTGCTATCTGTAGCTTTAGCAGCAGAGAGAGAGGTAGTGCCACTTTGTCGCTGTTCCTAACGCCCAGTGACAAAGCTAGCTACATTTCTGAGTACCCTTAGCTACTTTCTGTAGAACTTTCTTCTAGATATTTCCTGCAAATTAGCAACAAAATAGCCATTTTCGCTCTAAACCTTTCTTTGGATTGACGTTGTTTCAGCTGTCATCAAGGATATAAACGTTACAGATACATTAAATGTCACTGGCGCTTTAGCTCACCTAGTAAGATGTCTGATTCTCATACAAAAGACCTGGGTTCGATTCTGGGTGCGAACAAAGTTTATTTGGAGTTTCTTTTTTACATTAATGGTATATATTTTTACAATAATAAGACGCCCACATTTGTGTTTGAGACTCGCTGAAAGGCACTGAATTCACGGATAAACAAGATGTGGGTTCAACTTTCATTTTGGAACAATTTTTCAAGCAAGGGAAGTGAATGATCTGAGCATGCAGGAAGACTGACCCATCATAAACTTTTGGCTGTGCTGAAGAGAAAGATACAGAACCAAATTATTTAATTAATTAGCTGCGCGTTCTCCTGTCCTCTGTCCTCTGGGCCACACACACACACACACACACACACTGCACGTTCGGCCGGCCGACGAGCAAGTGCAGCTGCAGAGACAGAGGCACATTATTTTATTATTTTGCTGTGCTCTTCTGTCCTCCGGGCCACACACACACACACACACACACACACACGGGACTGTCTCCGCTGTTATTGTCGTTAAGGAGCGTGCACGTACAGGATGCACACCTCATGCACGAGCTTACTTTTGAAGCTGCAGTAACGCGTTAGGCCTGAGTGGCGATCGCGAGCATAAAAACTTCAAACTTCCTTACAGTCCCTTTAAAAACTATCTTGTCTCATTAAGCTTTTGGTGCCGATTTCAGCCATTTGTCCTAACCAACAACCCTAATCTAGTTTGGTTCAGGCTGTCATCTGAGAAGGAATAATTATGAGCCACAAGCCTCACTTTGAGCTACATTCTAGGTTGCATTGTTGTTTTAAATCCTGTTGTGGGGGGCACCGTGCAGAAGCTTATGTGAAACCAGTTATGGAGATATAAATCTCCTCACAGCTTGAGATGCAAAATAGTTTCTCTTTTTTTGGGGGCAGAAGGGTGATGTCATCCAGGCTCAGAGTGAATGAGAACGTCTCGGAAAGGACACAGCTGTCTTGTTTGAGCTCGCACTTCATTTCAGACATCTTTTGTACTCATTCAAATAGAAATAAACACGTCCACACTCTGCTGACAATAGCAGGCCAGCGGAGGTCAGCAGGCCTGGGTTTAGAAAAGGTTCAACCAGCCTCATGTTTGCTTCTTTCCTGTTTTATTGTTGGTTTTTAGGCATCTTTTACATATTTTTATCTTACTGGAGAGTTACTTCTACTTGGCTGCATTCAGCTGTCTTTGTTGTGTTTATGACTTCATAAACGGGTTTAAACGCATTTTGGTAGCCCTGGATATGAAATGTTTGGAGGATTAACAATTCCATAAAAGGGAGCGAAGCTTCTTGAGTTTGTTAAAAGAGAATAATTCATTAGAAATATTTTGCTATTTGAAAGTTGATCGTTTTCTCCACAAGTCCAACTGCTCTGCTGGGACTTGTGCTCCTTATTTTGACTTGATTCTTCCCTGTTTTCACTCTTAAACATTTGGTGGATGTTTGGATCAGCAGGTGCACACACTGGTGCCGTCAGCCTCCCATCTGGCAGCGAGGGGCAGTCAGCACACTGATAAAAAAAGCAGAGTGGGATGACACGCAGCATAAAGAAAATGGGAATTAGAGCCTCTGTCCTTCCGTTCTGGTTTAATACTCTTCAGTGGGACTAAACGCTTTCTAGTGACTGCTCCTTCTGAATGCTTCAGTACGTTTCAGAGACACAAACCAGCCAATAAATTTGTGCTTTGTTGCACCGCCCACTTGAACCGCGCTTTCTTTTCTCCCCCCAAACAGTATGCACACGTTGTTTTTCATGTTTCGTTTGTTTGCATGAGTGACTACCGTCGACCTGTTTTCATGATCATTTCCAACAGGAGACCCTTGAATGAAGCAGTTTCCTCGTTATAGCCTGCTCTCACGGCTCTCCGTGTCCCCCTTTGTCAACCCCACAGCTGTCAAGTCCGTTTGAGAAAGAGGCCACAGGGAGGAAAGGTCAGAGGTCAAACAGTGATGGACAAGAGGGTAAACCAAGGAAGAAGAGAAGTGAGGCCAAGGTTTGTTTCACATTCATCTATTCCTGAATGCACTACACGATTATTAAATGTTAGTGTCTAAAAGTAAAACTCAACATGTTGATGTGACGCATTTTCTACACGTCTGTAATTGTAGTTCTACTTGGAACATTAAAACATACCGATTTTATTTGAGATTTGGGCTTTTCTGAAATACCGTATTGAGTTGATTAATGACTTATTCTCATTCATAAGCTCCTCTGGGGATAGAGATGTGCTTTTTAGATTCTAAAAGCATCCATGTGACTGACTCAGACCTCTCCTCTGTTCTGCAGCAGTCTCTGATGCTGGATGCAGATGGAGGCAGTCTGTCTCCAGGAAGCAAACCTCACATTTGTGAGCACTGTGCTGCCTCCTTCAGAAGCTCCTATCACCTTCGCAGACATGTTCTCATTCACACAGGTAGAAATCTGTCCACAGTTTTATTTTTAGGCCTAACACTCCTTCTTTTTGTTCTCCTTTGTTTCACTATTTTTAAAAGCACAACCTTACGCTGTTCCATGTTGGGTACATGGACAATAGAGCCAATGTATGAAGAACGCCTTTAGAGTTATCGATCAATGACTACGTTTACATGCAGCCAATATCCGGGTTATGATCGGGTTAAGGTCGGGATTCGGGTTTCTGAGTTGATCAGAATAACCCGTTTACAAGCATAAATAGAAAGAGTTACCTCTAACTTGCATAACCCGATTTAAATGCGGGCGTTGGGGTAGCGTCAGGACGTATGGACTACGTCCAGACGCAATATGCGTCATTTCCGGTTCTTCTTGTTCCGGTATCCGTGAAAACAACGACATGTTTCCCAGTCCGGAAGAGATAGCGACCGCGTTTGTTTGCACTTTAGTTTCCTCGTCACTCCAAAAGTGTGGTGCTGTGCCGCGACTCGCCATGTTGCTCCCAACTTGTTGTTTACTTCCGGTGTTCTGGCGCATACAAGACGTCTCGCTACTCAGAAGACCAAGATTCCTTGCGAACAGAGCATGCGCAGAACACACGCTTTGATGGGGATATCCCGATATGCGTTTACACGACCAAACATTCAGGTTAGAAAAGGGTTACCCCAGGTGTAGTAACCGGGTTTTTAAAAACCCGGTTATGAGCATATCCGGGTTTTTGGCGGTGTTTACATGGACCTGCGGAACCGGGTTATTGTGAATATTCGGGTTTTAAAAGGGTTACTGGCTGCATGTAAACGCACTCAATGATTACGAGTGTCTAGAAGCATAATGTAAAGAGGCTAGGGGTAGTTTAAAGCTTTCGCAGGGTAAATCCTTGTGGGTTCAGTAAAAATGGCTGCTGGGCTTTTATGGTTCTGTGAAAATGTTTTGCTTCTCCCTCTAAACTATTTCACAAAAATAAAGTCTGGTTGTCGTTTTTCTCTGAACCTGTAATGATGCTCCTTGTCGTCATCCTTTAGCGTAGAACTGGATCTGGTCTAGGGGCAGGGCCTGATGGATGTCCAAGTATTTAAAAACAAAAGTATGTGGTCACTGAATGGTGGTTTTTGTCTGTTTTCTCCATCGGGTTAAATAGTTCTGAACACAAAAAGGTGCCTTCCCTCACACCTGTGCCTTTATTTAAAGGGATCATAAGGAAGTTTGACAGCCCAAACATGTATAGAAATAGTAAATGTCTTCTTCATACATTCTCCTGCAATGCCCTGGTCCTGTAGAATGAGCCCTGGCATTTTTACTGTGATTGCCTGTTTTTCTGTAAAATCACAGAAAAAGAGAGCTGCACGGGTCGAGCAGGCTGCTTCATGCGTGTTCACGCTCAGGCATAGCCCGTAGCATTTGCTATCCGTAGCTTTAGCAGCAGAGAGTGAGGTAGTGCCACTTTGTCGCTGTTCCTAACGCCTAGTGATGAACCTAGCTACATTTCTGAGGACCCTTAGCTACTTTCTTCTAGATATTTCCTGCAAATTAGCAACAAAATAGCCATTTTTGCTCTGAGCAGTTTTTTGGATTGACGTTGTTTCAGCTGTCATCAAGGATATAAATGTTACAGATACTGGTGCTTTAGCTCACCTAGTAAGATGTCTGACTCTCATGCAGAAGACCTGGGTTCAACTCCAGTTGTGAACATAAATTTGTCATTTAGAGTTTCTTTCTTACATTAATGGTATATTTTTTTTTAAATAATAAGATGCCCAAATTTTTATTTGAGACTCGCTGAACGGCATTGAATTCACAGATAAAAAAGATGTGGGTTCAACTTTGATTCTGGAACAATTTTTCAAGCAAGGGACGGGAATGATCTGAGCATGCAGGAGGACTGACCCATCTTAAAACTTTGGCTGTGCTGAAGAGAAAGGTACAGAACCAAATTATTTAATTAGCTGTGTGCTCTCCTGTCCTCTGTCCTCCAGGCCACACACACACACACACACACACACACACACACACACACACACACACACACACACACACACACACACACACACACACACACACACACACACACACACACACACACACACACACACACACACACATACACACACATACACACACATACACCACACACACACACACACACACACACACATACACCACACACACACACACACATACACCACACACACACACACACACATACACCACACACACACACACACATACACCACACACACACACACACACACACACACATACACTACACACACACACACACACACACACACACACACACACACACACACACACACACACACACACAGCACGTTCTGCCGGCCGACGAGAAAGTGCAGCTGCAGAGGCACATTATTTTATTAATTTGCTGTGTTCTTCTGTCCTCCAGGCCACACACACACACACGGGACTGTCTCAGCTGTTATTGTCGTTAAGGAGTGTGCACGTACAGCGTGCACACCTCATGCACGAGCTTACTTTTGAGGCTGCAGTTACACGTTAGGCCTGAGTGGTGATCGCGAGCATAAAAACTTCAAACTTCCTTACAGTCCCTTTAAGAATATTTGATCATTTTCTGGACCTAATCTCCTATTTCCCTGGTGTGAGAGTGTTAGTTTGGCTTTGGTGTGCTTATTGCGTTGTCACAAAACTGCCAGTTCAGTGATCTAGAAAACTGATGTTAAGAGTTAATAAAACCTGGAGGCCATTAGGGCTGCAACAACGAATCGATAAATTCGATGAAAATCGATTACTAAAAGCGTTGGCAACGAATTGCGTCATCGATTCGTTGTGTCGCACAACTCTTCCAAAAGCGCCCCCCCCCCCCCCCTCCCGCCCGCCGTTGCGCGCAGACCAGAGCAAGTCAGATCAGCGCGAGGGAGAGCCGCAGATCAGCGCGAGGGAGAGCCGCAGATCAGCGCGAGGGAGAGCCGGTACCGGCAGATCAGCGCGAGGGAGAGCCGCAGATCAGCTGTGAGGGAGAGCCGGCAGACTTGCGCTGCTGCGAACCGGTTCCGCATTGTTGCACAGCGATCCAGGCAGCTGCTTCCAGCGCACGGTCCATTCTCAAAGTGGCGCAACCAAAAAACTATAATTAGCACACGATCGTTCATGTCCGCACATGTTCTCTATTTTCTGTCTTATTTGTGCCTGAAGCGCGCTACTGCGGAGCTCATCACCTGTGCTGTGGTGATGTCACCTCACTGACGCAGCATCGAAAACGCGCTCTCCGCTTTTCGGTCAGGAGATCCCTTTGATCTGCTCAAAAGTAACTGATGAGGTGAAAAGGTAAGAATCCAGGCAACAGATTTTCTGGAGAATTAAGAGGAGATGCAGGAAGATGAGAGACAGACAGGACAGGAAAATAGTTAAATAAAAACAAGAAAACAAAACAAAGTGTTGAAAAGTAAAATGTAGGTAGATTTATCTCCACGACACGTTTTTACCTATAAAAAACAATAAGTTATACACATGTCATATTTATACATCTGATACAATTCAGATCACCTTCAAAACTCAGTCACACACCCAGGGCCGTTTCAAGACATTTTGGGGGCCAAGGCAAAATGCCCCCCCCCCCCCCCCCCCAAATAACTTGGCTCCCCAGAAGCCTCTGTGTAATTCATACCCTCTCCAGTAGTGTTAGTTATACAGTGTTTATAAAAGCCCCTCAGACATTACTGACATGTTCTAATATTATCAGATGAAAAACTAAATTATCAGACACGCTGTCTCATCTGCTGCTTTTCTAAACTTGCAAAAAGTAACAAAACCATTTGAAAGCCACTATTTGTGGATTCTCTGAAAGTTTATATGGAGTGTGGGACAACTTATTTTTTCATTGATCCTATCGTCTAATCTCACAGCTGAAACAAGCATCCTTAATAATCTGTGCACAGGAAGCTTACCGATGCTGTAGTAATACAAAAGGTATAATAATTTATTATTAATAAAACCTTGTTGCAGCACTAAAGCAGAAAAATTAGATTTTGCATTAAATATGCAAAATATTTACATATGAATTGTTTTAGAGCCCTTTAATTGGCAGAATCTGATATTAATTTAGTTCTTACAAAAAATGGGTCCCAACATGGTTTGTGTGGCGTTGCCATAGAGTGACGTCATAGGCACAGATCCCCTGTCCTCTTGTTTGGAAATGGAAATATGGTCACCCTACATTAAACAAACTGTCCACCCGGGCTTTTGCACTGCACAGAGACGCTTCGCTGCCTATGACTGAATGTCAGTTGAGAGTCAGTCTCATGCAGACTGACCAATGAAGAGAGGGCCTCAAGTTAAGACCCTCTCCTCATTGGTCAGTCCACTCATTGGTCAGTCCACACAAGGTGGGTCAAAGGTTACTCTGGGCGGGTTACGTGTTGTCAGGCATTCAAGTATTGAGTATATTTACTGCATATTACAGTAAAATATTCTGTATGTGACCACATTATGGTGATCCTTGGGTTGTGATGATGGAGCCCTTGAATATTGTTGCCCAGGGTACAACAAAGTGTTAATCTGGCCCTGGTTCCGCCGTCACATTCCAGCAGAAACTGGTTGATCACACCGGGGCCAGACTACTAGCATGTGGTTTTACAACCACAATGTCCTCAGAAGCAAAAACGCTTTTAAAAGGGAGGGAGGAGTCCTAACTGTTGCTGCAGGCGTGTTGTGTGAGAGTGCAGTTATATACTGGTTAATATATTTTTGGGTTCAGTTGCTTTCATGTGGCCTAATGTGAGTCTATTTGGGATCATTGGAATGATCAGCAGCATTTCTTCATGTGACTTTATGGCAGTTGCCCAGGGCATCATCGCAAGGAGGATGGCATTCATTTACTTTTGTTTTATTTGGTATTTTTTCAGTCATTTTTGGAAATAGTGATCAATTTTGATTAATTCACAGCCTATGTTTAATTACATTTAAAATAAATGTCAACAGATGAGATCAAACAAAACAGATGAGAATTGCCCTTAAGCTGTTTAACTTGGACCAAGCATTTTAGGTCACAGATAGATGTAGCTTAGGGTCTCTGTCTATACACCTTATAAGACAATTTAGGTGATGGCATGTTGTTTTTCTGCTATTGAACTGTTTTCTAATAATGTTGTGTTAAATAAAGTGAAGGAAGGAGAGAAATAACGTTTCCCTAGCAGTTTTTAAAAATTTCCCCATGTAATCCGATTAATCGATTAATCGTGTCGAGACCCCATCCGATTAATCGATTATCCAAATAATCGTTTGTTGCAGCCCTAGAGGCCATGCACTATTGGTCACATTTAACTGTGGTGTGTAGTCCATATTTTACATGTTCTTTTTCCAACGTGTAAAGTCAATGCAGCTTTACACATTTTGTACTGGAATATTTAAAAAATTCTTTATAAAGGTTTACATTTTAATGGGAGAAAAGGTTTGTCTTTCAAGAAGTGCCCTCAGACTTGTGACGGATACACACCCATCACTTTGTATTGTGTGTTTAAGGGGAAAGACCCTTCAGGTGCAGTCAGTGCAACATGAGCTTCATTCAGAAATACCTTCTCCAGCGGCACGAGAAAATCCACAGCGGTGAGTAAAAAACGTTCAAACACAGTCGCAGAACTCATCATCCCTGGGCCACGCCCCCATGTTATGGGAACACACATTGTCAACGGATATGGCTGGGCGATATGGCCTAAAATCAATATCACAATAAATTGGTGGATTTCACCTCGATAACGATAAATGGACGATAACTACAGGTATGCGCAGAAACAAAAGTTGTCCACTAGATGGGGCTGTCACATGAGGTGGTACAGCTTCTTAAAGGGACATGAGCGTTGCCAACCTACACACTTCTTTTTATTTTTTTATTATCAAATTTATTGACATGGGAAAAATTCTCGGTAAGAGTCAGAATTTTTGATAACGATAAATTTTTGATTCATTGCCCAGCCCTACCAGAGGATACGAGTTAGCAAGTCCGAACGTATTTTGTTGTCCGTAACTCAAATGGTGAGTTTGTTTTTGAGTTGAAGTGGCAGCAGCCGGCCGTTTCTCCTTCTCTGGTATTACTGAGGGGATTTTTGTTTCCTTTTTTATCTCCACAAAGTAATTATATTATGTTAGAAATGGCATGAAAAAAAAAACAAGATGGCGCTTTTTTTTTTTTTTTTTTTTTTTAATCTTTTATTTCATTCACAATGTATAAAATAAACACAAACAAATACAGGATACATTAACATATTGAAAAAAAACAACATTTTCGCAGATTTGCCATTGTAGCTTTAGTGGTGGTCGTTTTATCACTGCTCCCGCCTGAGTTGTGATTTAAATGTGAGCTTTGCTGTTGTCCTGCAGGAGAAAAGCCCTTCAGCTGTGATCAGTGTAACATGCGATTTATTCAGAAGTACCACATGGAGAGACACAAGAGGACACACAGTGGAGAAAAGCCGTACAGATGTGAGACCTGCCAGCAGGTTGGTAAAGCCGACAGATCTTCATCTGTACGGATTAAGTATTTACTAACATGGTGTTTGTGCGCGCCAGTATTTTTCTCGTACAGATCGACTTCTTAAGCACAAGAGAACCTGTGGAGAAGCCATAAAGAAGGGCATGAATCCTGGTATGATGGACCTGGGCTGCGATGACGTGGGACCGGGCAGCTATGGAATCGCTCAGGGAAACGTTGGGAGTACTGGAAGGAAAAAGGGACGGTCCAAAAATTCTACAGAGGGAGGACAGCAGAAGAAGAAGAAAGGAGGTGGAAAACTGGGCAATAAATTGCACCTGCATGGAGATGTATCTGGAAACTACAGTATCCATGATTACTCTGTGGAGAACCCAACCGTGTCTTCATCTACTGGGCCAGGACTGAGCATGCATCAGGGCCACCAAGCTCCAAAGATGGCCTTCAAAAAGGCCAACCGTAAGAGCCTGGAGAATGCAGCTCTGGCCAAGCCTGGATCATTGGAGCAGGAAGGCCTGGGCCTCATGCAGGGTAACGAGGCTAAGGTGGAGTCCTCCAGCAGCAACTATGATGATGCCATGCAGTTTGTGAAGAAGCGACGCTACCTTAACGCAGTCAATAATACATCCACTTCTGGGTCTGTGGGGCCAGGAGGAGCCAGCACTGAGTATGATGTCAATGTCCACTTATCCTCGCAGCCTTCAGACCTTCATGGTGGGGTTTCCAGTGTGATGGACAACGATGTTCCCCTCAGTCTGGACAAGTCCGGGATTCCCGATGAGGTGCTGCAGAGCCTCCTCGAGCACTACACCCAGAAACCCGACGGCTCACATCACGATGTTCACTTTGACATCAGTGACCATCATGTGGAGCTGAACCCCGACCCCGACGCCCCTAGCCCCTCAGGAGACAAGATGCACGAATACTCCCGCTTCCTCCTGCAGGCCCTGGAGCGCACCAGCCATAGTGTCAGTTTCTCCCTTGGTCCTGGGCTTCCTCCTTCAGGTCCCTTCAGCAATCCCCACCCAGGAAACCCTCTTTACTCAGACAAGAACATCTACACTACATCCCCACTGGACTGTGGGTATGGTCAGTCAGTCGGCTCGCCCTCGCTGCCCTCCTCTGTGCCAAAGTCTCACTTTGCTTTGCTAACGGGCTCCTCTCCACAGCACAGCTTCAACCTGAGCAGCCTGGAGGCCTCCACCCACCAGCAGCTCACCCCTTCTCAGGAGCTCACTGAGCAGATGGAGAAACAGCACTCTTCCACCTCCCCGTCATCCTACCAGATCAGCCCATCCGACCTGAACGGCCAGAAGGACCAGCCGTCACTTAAGAACGGCTCGGTGACGGTCTACCCTCTGGTCCCCTCGCAGGATCTGGCCTCTCTGGACTCTTCTAAAGCTTCCTACCAGATTGAAAACTTTGTCCAGGCGTTTGGCTCCCAGTTTAAGTCAGACAGCCACGGTTTGTCTTACGGCACTGACTCTGGTGGGGAGGTGGATCACAGGATACGGACGCCTGTGTCTGAATTTTCAGGGTATAGCAGTTTGTTGTCTGATGTCACTGAGCCAGTAAGTACTGGTTCCAAAACACCAACAAGCCAAAGCTACAGATGAAAGCCTGTCAAAGGTCTATGTCCTTGTCCTGTATTTTTTTTGTGCTATTTTATTTCTAATATTATTTTTAGGTGACATCTATGTATTAATTATTCTGATGCTCAGTCTTTATGCCCACTCTCCTTCCTGCAATAAGCCTGCGAGGCATCCTGCTAATGCAATATTTTACTACTTGTTTTTGTGACCATAGTTCTCGTCGGTAATCATAAACGGAGTACATTTCAAGTGGGCGGAGGCAAGCACAGGACGTTTCTTTTCCATTGAGCGGACCATCGCGATGTGTTTGAGCAGATCCGTTTTGGAAGCGTAAAAGTGTCGTTTGAACGAAAGACCGCCCGATGGCAGGGAATGGCCCAGGATCGAGATGATGAAAAACACAACAGGAATGTCTGTTACAGGTATTACTCAGGAAAAACGGGGGAGAGGAGCTCACGGTGGGCAGTGGGCTCTCTTTTCAGACGAGTATGTTTATGACTTCTGAGGATTTTTTTGTTTGTTTGTTTTCCTACTTGTTGAGTGAGTGTGACAAAAACAAACTTCTGCCAGCTCATTTGAACACTGAAAACACTTTTTACTTGGCTATAGAGATTATGGTACTGTCATGTCAATGTGAAACTCATGTTTTCTTCAATAAGGGCCATAGAAATGAATATCTATATATATTTATAAGAATATATATTATGTAAAATAACAGGTTTAAACATGATGGAGGTTTGCCATTTGAAGCTGAGGAGAGTGAGCTGGTCATGGATTTTATTTTATTTTTATTTCTTTGATGAACTGATGTCCACGCTTGTCTTCAGCCTCTCGTTGTTGCTGTTGGACAGCAGTAGAATGGCCTTTTACATTTCCCTTTTCCTCGTTATTTATCTAAAAATGTCCGCCGAGCTGCCGTCTTAGTTGGATCGAGCTCATACGTGAGGACTGAACGGACTTTCTTTGTTGCTGTCGGGGAATTTTTAAAGTTGAGCTGATGATTTGGGGGGGGGGGGGGGGGGGGGGGGGGCTTTTGTCTGAGTAGTATGGTTTATTATGGGATGAAGGAAAGGAAGGGTTCATATGTGAAGTGTTTTCTTATAGGGAGGGATTAGCTTAGAGTCGTGGGAGGGTGTTTTAAAGTGAGGTCAACTTTAATTGGGATAATGTAAATGTGATTCAAACCCCTAGATTTAGTTGCCTTGATGCCCGTTTTAGAGGGTTTGCATTTTTATTGTCTACGAGGACAAAACCTGTTGATGCGCATATGTTTCTGCAGCCGTGTGCTGAACGTGTTTAAAACCGAGCGTAGTCTACGTTTAGATCGGTTTGCTTCTATGAGCATTTATCTCCCTTTAGAAACTGGGTGCCTCTTTCTCTAAAGAACAGATGCAAAATCTTTTAAAAGTTAGGTGTAACTTCTTGCTGACTTAGTTTTTTTGTAAGGAAATCAATACTTGCTGTCTTCCATAGTAATAACTGGCCTTGAGTGCTGGAAATGATCTCTGCTGCTCTGAGTGAGTCTTTGAACCTCTGTGCCCCGATGGTCTGCTACTTTAAGCAATCATTAAAATTGGCAGAGTAAATGCAATGCTGTCATATCAAAAATGAAACTTTCTGAGGAGCGAACCAATAATTAGCTTCTCGTTTACCTCATCTCAGTAAACCAGGGACAAAGGTGTGAAGGTTGCTATGTAACAGAAATGCGTGTGTGTGTGTGTGTGTGTGTGTGTGTGTGTGTGTGTGTGTGTGTGTGTGTGTGTGTGTGTGTGTGTGTGTGTGTGTGTGTGTGTGTGTGTGTGTGTGTGTGTGTGTGTGTGTGTGTGTGTGTGTAAAATGTCATTTTTCTGTACGATTGTATTTAAAAAAAATGTGTACGTGACATTTGCGTCTACATGTCTCTTGCCAGTCAGTGTTTAGTTCATTCGGTTTAACCTTCTCTGTCCTCCAAATGACATCCAGTGTGTTCTGTCCTGTTTACAAAAACACTACATCTAACTTGAATGAGTCATTTTACTGCATTTCATCCACACACACTTTCTATGTCACCGCCAAATGTAGTAGCTCTGATCTCTTTTGTTATTTTAGTTTTGACACATTTCACACAGTCTGTTAGCAAATGAAAGGATGACAGAATGAGAGAAAGACAATAAAAACTGCTGTTGCCTCGATTTGTTTGAGATTTTGATGGTGGGAGTCCTCGTCTGAAACGTGCAGCTCTTTTTTTCTGCCACTAGATGGCGACAGGATCAGTCTTAAACCTATGCTTAGTTCTGTTTGGATCAGACCTCTGCTTTTTAATTTGGAAACTGGGCTAGTTTTTACTTATTACAAAATATGTTTGTGTCCATTTTATTGTAAACAGGATAAACTAGGCAACTCCATTTTATGAGATGCATCTGTTCAGTTGTTTACACTGTTTTCTAATTGGCCAATCACATGGCAGCATCATATGGGCCATTCCCATCTGTACCGGGTCGGCCCGGGCCGGGTAGCCCCAGTCGGCCCCAGCCTGGCCCAGATGATTCCACACATCCTTGTCTTAAGCCCATGTGGGCTGATTCTACCCACCAATCAGAGGCTTGCTCTAATGGAAGGTGTGAATTTGCTGTCAGCAGTGGGTGTGTTGGCCCTGGTCGGCCTGAAGCAGACCCCCTCGAGAAGAGGGCTGAGAATGAGCCTTGGTTGGCCCGGAAAAATACCAGGCCACCCAGATATGTAAACAACCTACGCTACCCGGCCCGGGCCGACCCGGTACAGGTGGGAATGGCCCATTATTAGACACCTAGACCTGGTGAAGAGGTGTTGGTGAATGTCTACGTGAGCGTCAGCATGGAGAAAGGGAATTGAGCTTTGGAACATGTGGTGGCTGTTCATTCATCTGGTAGGGACGGTGCAAATTAACAAACCTCTATAGAAGAATCTGTGAATATGCCATATTATAAATGAATGGGTTCCTAGGCAGGACACAGGAAGTTGAAACCAGTCTGGACAGCAGTTACAGAACAAACATCACAGATACTTTACATTTCTTACACGAGCAATTGGTCAAAGGTTAATAATGGTTACATGACTGGCTTGCTTTCAGCAAATGTCTGAGTAGAATTTTGAAAGTTCCTCTAAACCATCGATCCTGCTCAATGGTCAACTTTCCTCGCGGGGTCACGCCCATAAAGACATGTGGGAGGCTTAAAGAATGCAAAATAGAAATTTTAATACAGAAAAGATAAATAAATAAAAACACTGGCTAAATATATACCTTATGAATTCAATCACTTCTGAGCTACATGTTTGTATAGAAAACTTGTAAGCAAGATTAATTAGGTAAATAACAAAAACAACTTTGTTTATTTTCTGGGGAGGTTTATACTGCTTCCTGAATTTTCTCCAACATTCATTTAAATATTTTTTCCTTCCACAACTGTGAGCTCTGGGGAGGCCAAAGAGAAATGGTCAGACTGACTCAGCATCTGGGAGCCATAAATGAGTCTCAGTATTTAAACCCATGAAAGAGGAGTGGTACAATAAAAGGACAGATTCAAGGAATAATTTACATCATTTACCTTGATTCATATTTACTTTTAACTCAAATTTCAACATTATCAAAGCTCCCTCCTTCACTTTATTGCTTTCTGTCCCCGCATTTGCTACCGCCCTCTGTGCACAGCCCAATATGTGACCATTTAACAGCTCTGAAGATAAGCACATCATTCACGTCACTCTCACATCCACCCTGCCAACAGAGTCAACAAAAAGCACAGAGAACAAAAAACTCACACCCCGGGTTCACTCGGTGTCTGTGTGGTGGCCAGAAGCGGCTCTGTGACACTGTTCTATAAAAAAATAACAATCAAGAGACGGCGTCACATTACTGTCGGTCACACCTTTAAATTTTACAGACATTTTCACATTTCCAGTCAACAATGAGAACTTTCAACTCACAAAAAAGGAACAAACACGTCAGTGGCAACAAAGATCACAAGAGGTTTATTAACATGAAGAGAGTGGCAAGGCTTCAGGGGAGGAACGATGATGATGTAGAAGGCTCCATTTGATCCACCTCTTGTGTTTTATTCCACAGTGGTGAGGAGGCAGCCTTCGTGGTTCTCTTTTCTTTGAGGAAGTGTTTTATTTCCCCAAACAGGCTGAAAGGCAACATTGGTTTCAAAGGACTGTTGTGGGACAGAGTTAAACGTAAAAATGTGCTGATGAGGAAAAAAGTGCACTCTGGTCCTGTTCAGTGCTCTCTGTCAAGGAAGCAACCAATAATATAGAAATTAGTACGTTATCTAAAACAGCCCACAAACGTGGTTTTAACCAGATCTTCAATGTTTTGAAAAAGAAACTCTGATTTTAATTAAAAAAAAAGGTTTTTAAAAAGCTTCTGTTGAAGACAGGATGTAGTTAGGTTAACATTAGAGTAAACAAACAACCAACTCCAAAGTTATCCGGCAGTTTCACTCACGCTTTAAAGCCTCGTTTACTTTCACAAAGTGTGCTTGATTTATCTTCCCTCGTAATAAATAACTCCTTTAACACACAAGGAAAACCGTGTTGAGATAACCCCGTCTTCAGACTGCAGCTCTGGGGTCGGTGTTTTATTGGTTGTGATGTGATTTTAATGGAGTGATTGTGAACCGTTTAGTTCGTTAAGAGACCCACATGAGAAAAGGCCAACACGAGACATCTGAGCAGTCCGTTTAATCTCAAAATGTGGTGTTAAATGACGGATGAGTCCTTGATGTCAAAACAATGCGTAAGACTCACCAGCAACTTTATTAGGTGCACCCCGCTAGTACCGGGAACTCGTCCTGGCATCATTCTTTGTGGCGCAGATTCAACAACGTGTTGAAAGTATATAATTTGTTTCACCACATCCCAAAAGTTCTGGACCGGTCTGAGATCTGGTGACTGCGGAGGTCGGTGGAATCCAGTGGACTGATCATGTTCTAGAAACCAGTTATGGTCTGTGCTTTGTGACATGGTGCTTTATCCTGATGGAAGTGGCCATCAGAAGATAGGTCCATGTGGTCATGAAGGGCTGGACATGGTCAGCAGCAATACTCTGGTGGGCTGTGGTGTTTAAACCAGGCTCAGGTGGTACTAATGGCTTCATAATGGAACAAGAACATCTTTCCAAACCATTACACCACCATAGATGTCTCAAGCATTGATGCAAAACAGGATGGGCCCATGCTTCCACCAAAGTCTAACCTGACCGTCTGAATGTTGCAGCTGAAATCCAGACTCGGACCAGGAAACATTTACCAGTCTCTTCTAGTCCAGGCTGGTGATCCTGCATTAATTAACATGATAGGTAGGTTCCTGTTCTTAGCTGACAGGAGAGACACCTGGTGTAGTCTCCTGCTGCTGGAGACCATCTGCTCCAGGGTTCAACATGTTGTGGTTCAGAGATGTTGTTCTGCAGAGCGTGGTTGAAGCCACAAGTTATTTGAGACTTTTATAATCCAGATTCAGTCTGCCTGACACTTTCACTCACGGAATATCCTCTTCTTGAGACCATCGTGTGTAAACCCTGAAGGTGGTTGAGGGTGAATCAGCAGGTTTTTGAAATGTGCAGACCAGCCTGCTTGATTCAAAACTCAGCTTCAAGAGCCACACTAAAGGAATATCTAATACCGTGAAATTCAATGTACACAATTTTAAACACATGTACCTTTTCTAACATTTGAAGCTGCTAAACTGTGTTTACATTCAAGGACCCGTCCCACATTGAATGCTGTATCACACATCGGTCTCTGACAGGTGGACATGTATGCATAATAACATAATCTCTCTAAGTCATTGAAGATTTAAAACATATCTTTGTCATTCCTCACGTAATAATTTACTCAGCACAATATAATATAGATGTCTCATGGTCTTGCTCCACAACCCATGTCTGACTAGGTAAAAAATGGATCACAGCAGGTCTCAGGACTCTTCTAGAGCGGACTGTGAGGTCCCACATTAATAAGATGTCTTCTAGAGGGGACTGTGAGGTCCCAC